ACATCTGACAAACTAGGCTCGCTCTCTGCAGTTTGCTGGTTTCCCACGGTCCCCATCAGTCTCTATTACCTCCCAACACTACAGACAGAGCAGGGGGTCAATAGCTATTTATAAGTTTTGCTCTCCTTGCGGTTCTCATTTGTAGAACTTTCCTGGCTCTCAGAGACAAGTGAGTTTGTAATTCCTGTAGTTAATGATCAATAAATAAGTTTTAATGAAGGACTATCAGATGAGGAACAGGTGTAGGAAGTGATATATCCGAAAGGGAAAACAATTTCATGATATGACAATGGTAGTCAATATTTTAAAGGATGTCATATGACAGTATAAATTATGTTTGTTCTGGTAGGTCCAGAATCCCAAAATAGAAACAATGAGGGAAATCACAAAACTTTTCCATCTTTGAAATTACTCAAAAGCAAAATGGATTTCCTCAGTGAGGAATGAATTTCTTTTCCTGAGCTGTTCAAGCTGTGAACACCAGGCCACCTGCCGGAAGTTCCGAGACGGGAGGCTGGAATGGCTGCCCTCCAGGGCCCATTCCACTCAGCGAATCTATGACTTCAACCCCTTTCCTAAACTCATTTGCTGTCTTATCGTAAAACAGAACATGGAACAAAGCAGCAGACAGTCTGTTGAGTGGACTGCCTCTGGGGTGCATGCTGTACAAGAGAATAGGGTCAAGAAGGAAACCTTGAGAAATCCTATTATTTGAGGATGATGGAGAATGAAGACTTGACAAAGAAAAGAGACTCAAAACTAAGAACATCAGGAGCTCATGTGTCACAGAGACCAACGGGAGAGACTTTCCACAACTTCCACTGCAACTGCAGCAACATTTAAATATTTTAAGAATTTTAAAGTGTCCATTTGATTGTGGAATGAGAAGATCATCAATGACCTTGGTTTGGAAATTTCCAGGAGGGGCATGGGGGTAGAGGGCTCATGCTCAGGACATGCCTCAAATTGAAATTAAGGTAATTTATCCAGATGGGATTATATATAAGAACTATATTGTTAGGATTATGTTAAAAACTTTAATGTGTATAAGCATTTAAATTATGCTACAATTTTTATAACTCTTTTTGGTAATTCTTTATTATTGTTTACTATAGACAAAGCCAAAAAAAAAAAAAAAGAAGAAGAAGAAAGAAAAAAACGAATTAGCCCAGGCCACCGACAGCCTCCATGAGGCCTGGCCTTTCAGTGGAGTGGTATGTATGAAGTGAATTTCATTTCATTAAAAAAAAAAAAAAAATTGTGCTTATTCTATGAATTTTTTTATTTAAAAGGCAGCATCCAAGAAAACTTCAATGTGTCTTACTAAGTGAAAGAAGTCAATTTGAAAAAGCTACATAATATATGATTCCACTACATGACATTCTGGAAAAGGTAAAACTATGGAGACGGTAAAAGATCAGTGATTGCCAGTGGCTGGGGGGAGAGAGGGATAAACAGGCAGAGCAAGAGGATTTTTAGGGCAGCGAAACTGCTCTGTATAACCACGGATACATGTCCAAACTCACGGAATGTACAACAAATACCAAAAGTGAACCCTGAGGTAAACTACGCACTGTAGCTGAAGATGAGGTGTTAATACAGGTTCATCAACTGTAACAAGTGCCCCCCTCTGGTTATACGCTCCTGCCTGTGGTCAATAACCAGCTGCTTACAGCCAGTTGTGAGTCACCGCCCCAGAGAAAGTGATAAAACCTACAGACTCCTCAAACAACATGGCCAGTTTCTTACCCAATCACATTACTGTGACGTCCACCAGACCACAATTCCTGCCCATGTGCACAGAACTTCTAATCCACCTTTTAGACTCATTCCAAAATACAAAGAGCCAAAGATCACTAGATATTTGAGGAAAATCTCCAGTAATAAGAGAAGCCAAAACAAAAGGAAGGAACACAGAGTACATGCCGCAGAAAAAGAAAAAAAAAAGCAGTACAGAAAAGAATGGAGACAGATTCTGTTTTCATCAATAAATAGTGGATGCTGTATTTTAAAATTTTTTTAAAAAATTCATAGAGCACAGCTTTTTAGAAATTAAAGATACAAGAGCAGAAGTTAAAAGTTCAATAGAAAGTCTGAAAGATATGTTGAGGAAATCTACAGAAAGTAGAGGAAAAAGAAAACAAAAGTTACAGAAAGAAAAAAAGAAGCCAAAACAGAAAACTTATCAATGAAATAATATAAGAAAATTTCTGAGAAATTTCTGAGATATACTGGTTGAAAAGACCCACATAGTACCCAGCACAGAGTGAAAAAGGAACCACACCAAGGGATCTGGTTGTAAAATTTCAAAGCAATAGCAATAAAATGGAAATTATAAAAGCTTCCAGAGAGAGAAAAAGATCACATAAAAGGGTTGAAAAGCAGGATGGCACTAGATCTTTCGACTGCAACACTGGAGGCTAGAAGGTAATATAGTAACGACATCAGATATCGGCAGGAGAATACTTCCAGACTGGACTGCTTTGCCTAGGCAAACTCCAGTCAAGTGTGAGATGTATTAAAGACACTTGGAGACACACAAAGTATCCAAACATTCTCCTTCACATGCCCTTTTTCTCGGGAAGTTACTGGTAGATGAATAAACCTAGAATGAAATAAGCCTAGAAACTCCAGAAAAAAAGTATATATATATTATTCATGAAAGGAAAGAGAATTTAACCTCAGCCAGAAATAATAGTTACATAGTCATAATAATAAAAACACTGAGTATTAATTTAAATAAAAATTATAATTTGAGTATATAGGGACAAAAGGGGAGCAAAACCATGATAGGGAAGGGCAATAAGAGAACTGGCCTCATCTTCCATTGAGATCTTAAATATCAAAGCAGGACAGTATAAACACATTAAGAAGTATGGAAGCGACAGCAGGAGAAACATCTGAGAGTTAAGGTGGTTGTCACCAGAGCACAAAGTTTTAGGTGGGAGGAGTGGGGTATAACCCAAAGGCAAATTAAAAAACAGTTCTAGTCAACTATGTAAATTACGTTCGTATCCTATTTTGATAAAGATAAAACTTGAATTAAATAAATGAATCACAGGGTGTTTGGATCTTGCAAGCTATTCCTTTGAGAAGCTTAAATATCCTAGGAAAAATAAATAAACTGGTGCATGGTATTTTTTGTTAATTCTTTTAAGTTTGGAGAAATAATAAAGAAGAAATTATTTATAGTGGCAGAAAGGAGATTGGGCATCTGAAGAAGCAAGTTCTCCCCAAGGAGTCAAAATAAGGGTCTAGAGCATGTGTACCTAAATTAGGCCTAGTCAGACAGACAGACAGACAGTCACAGACAGACAGACAAACAGGCAGGCAGCTCTTCCTCAGTGATCAGGGGTGGTGGATGGAGGAGAATCAATGGACAAAAAGCTGCATGAGGAAGAAACATACCTGTGGTTAGAGAACTGAGACAATGCTTGACAGTCTCTTTTGGGAGTGAAGTAGGAGGCCAGAGAAAATTGTGAATGTTTGAGAAGGTACCAGAAGAAAATGTTCACTTTAATTTGATCAAGTAAATTTGATCTTAGAGCAAGAATGGACACATGCTGTCTTAACTGACAGTGTTTGTACTCAGTTATTCCTCTACGCTCCCATAAAACTTTCTAACACTTACCTAAAGGATTGTTTTCACTAAACTATGAATCCTCTAGAACTGTCTTATCTAGAACCGTCTTATCTATTTGTATACAACCAACACTGACTCCTCATGGTGCCTGACATGAAATGCATTTTTGTTGTATAGATATACAAATATTTTCTTTCCAGAAGCTAAAAAGCATGTCAACACACCAACACGCATATATTACCTTAAAATGTTTTTTCTATGCCAGAAGTTAGCATCCAATAATTTTGCTATATATTTTTTAAATAACATATAATGTCATATTACTGGTAACCCCCTCAAAAAAATTCTAATGTAAGGTCGAACTTAGATCTGAAGCTGTCTCTCTAAGCACATACAAAACCAAGAATCTGTTTGGGTGATGCCCACAGGTTGACTAAATGCAGACCAGCACAAAAGACTACGTGAACCAATGACTGTCTCAAGGATTCTAAGTTAAAGCTCAGGAACATTCACAGTGAATCGAAAATCCACACTTGGTAATCAATATCTGTTGAGCCTAATAATAAACCTAAAGATTTCATGGTTTGAAATATCAAACTTATTGATTCAAATAATTTGATCAGTTGGTCTCTGTTTATTAAGCACTCCCTAATATTTCAATTTACTCTAATTTTACATTCTAAGAAGGAAATATAGTTATTATTCCCTATGCAAAGCATGATATTAGTGTTAATTTTTTAAATTCTGCTTTCCTCTCCCCTACTTTTAAGCCAAAAACCAATTTCCTTGGTAATTACTCAATATCTTTTCCACAAAACATTTCGGATCCATCTCAAACAGGTTTGAGGGGAAGAAGGGGAGTCGAATGAATGAATGAATGAATGCAAATGTTTTGTTCATCATTTAAATCTTTTGCTGAGTTTAGAAGATGTTTTTGATTGCTATTAGTTGAAATTCTTCTTGTCATAGTAACAGAGAAAGTGATTTTGAAAAGTCTATCTTGAATGCTAGCTTATGTCAATAAATCCTAATCTTCAGTTTTACAATGCAGTAAAACAGAATTATAATTATCTAAATGATTTAAGCTAATTAACAATTTAAGAAAAACTACAGATTGGTACACCTGTGTATACTTTTCCTCAAATTCCAAAAACGTTTAAGTTGACCAACTAAGATTGTTCCAGTAATATCATAATGTAGAACAACCGAACTGACATCTTCATAATTTCATCCTTTTATCCTTTCAAAAATGTGTCAGAAAATAATTCCTAAAAATGCATTTTAGAATGTACAAAGGTATGCTGACAACAGAGCTATGTTATTTCCACCTTTAAGGTCACACAAGCCAAACGAGAGTTCGATCGCTCCAAGATGACTTCTAGTTTATGAGAGCATGCAAAAGCACCTTCTAAAATACCTGATTTTGACTTCAGGATAACCTGAATGCTGTGTCCGTCGTTAGTGACTTCACAGTCCCGGCAGACCACGTAATTTGGTGAGAGGCGGACGTCCAGCAGGGAGGGGTCATATCTAGCTTCTCTGGAGTTCAGGTTAATGGGAGACTGATACTCCCCATTGGCATCAGGAAACACCAAGCCCCACTCAACACCTGAGGACAAAATGAAGCAAATTTAGAACAGGTGAAAAGAACAAAGTACAGTAAAATTTAACGTGTAAAAACTAGTTTATATGCTACTTATGACTTGACTTTATTAAGGAGATTATGACTACTGTCTTTCTACAGATGAAACATGGAAAATGTGTGTGAATTTTTGCATTCATATTTTGAATGATCTAATATTACCAAAAACCCCGGACTAACAAAATATTCTGTTTGTATTTGTCCACATAGACGTAATAATTTATGACTAAAAAATGTAGGTCATCTTTAAGTGCTTAGAAAAAATGATAACATCACAAAAATTTCTTCTGCTCATCAGAGTTCAATTACCTGCAGTACATAGGAAATATCTGTAACTCTCAACATGCTAGGTGAGAGCCAGAAACCAGAAATCTGATGCTAGTGAATAAACACCACTTATCAGAAATGCAAGTACAGTATTCTGAAGTATGCACATGTATATATATATATATGTATGTATATATACACACATTCATACATATATACTCTTTCCATAATTTTTATAATTAAAATTATAAAGTCTACATTTTTTTTCATAGATGTAACAAACATCAGCACCAGTGGTCAGCTCTATAAAGAGACCTACATCTTCAGGAACGAATTGAGGAAACCAAACTTTTTAAAAAGTCAACCGCCTCCTCACCGAGCCCACTGATTCAGCCTGAAATCTAGGACATGTTTGGGAAGAGTTGAGCCTTGTTAGTCTCCTTCAGGAAAAGAGTAGAGACAGAAGTGATTTCTCCCACCAGGGTTCTCATAGTGATCAAGAAACTAATAGTTTCACCAACACCGTATTCTCAAGGTGTTGTGTGAAACGTTACGCTGCTCCTCTCAGCTCGTGAGAAGACAGAAATGTCACAGCTCTCGGCTCGCCCTGCGGACTGAGGCAGGTGCCAACTGCTGCCCGCCAGGAAGGCCAGGCTGCCCCACGCGGACGCAGGCGGCGGTCCCGCCCGCTCTCCCTGCGGCGCCTCGTCCGGAACCGGCCCGGGGAGTGGGGAGGCGACAGAGCCCCACGTGGAAAGCGGGGCCGCAGAGGCGCTCGCAACGCGCGAGGGCAGCGAGGTGCTGAGCCCCCGGACCGCGGCCACCTGCGTGCGCGCGCGTTACCTTCCTCGTAGCCCCACTCCACACCCTCCTCCTCCTCCTCCTCCTCGTCCTCCTCCTTCTCCGGGAAGGCGACGGAATCTTCGATGAAGCTCAGGTCAGCCATGGGAAGGCCGGGGGTCCTCTCTGCCTGCGCCCCTGCAGGGTGAGCGGGCTGGAGCGAGCGCGTGAGCGCGTGTGCGAGTGCGGGTGAGTGAGCGTGTGTGCAAGTGGGAGCGCGCGTGCGAGTCCGAGCGGGCGCGGGGCTCTCGGGCGCCCGGCGCGGGGAGCGCGTCCTGAGTCCCGGCGCAGCGCGGGAGAAGCTGCGGCACCGGGGGCGACAGCGGGCGCATTATAAACCCGGCCGGGGCGTGTCTGGCACGTGAGGACCCGCCCCCTCGGTTCGGTGGCCCGGGGACCCGGAGAAGGACAACAGCCAAAGGCCCTGGGACGACCGCGTGGAAACAACGGGAACGGCGGACACCCCGGCCCCTCTAGCCGGTCAGTTGCCCACCCTCCCGCGCTGCCTGCGGGGGCTCGGCCTCGCGCCCGCCCCCCGGAACCCCGCGCGTCACCCAGGCTCTGTCCTCGGGACTCCGGTGTGCAGGGCCCGGGCAGGCCTTCCACTCTGTTTTCATCCTTACTCCAGGAAACAGCAAAAGAAAGAAAGGGGGTCGGGGAGGAGAGAGAGAGACTGCCCAGGGTAAGAGAAGAGAGAGGGCTGGGTGTCCCCCTAACACACTGAAGAGGGTTTCCCAGCTGCGAATCTTTCTTGCTGAGTATTCACTTTGAATTCGCCCTTGGAACACAATGGAAACGATTATGGAAACATTTCCAAGAAACTTGTAGTTCCTAAAAACATTTAAGAAAAGAAAATTTGTTTTAATCTAGCGAAGTAAATATACCTTAGGGAAAATTTTCCATGAAAAAAATTGAGTCGCGAAAGGCAGTAAAGAAAGCGTGTTTTGGTTTTAGTTTCAGACTCGGGGGTGCTGCTGCAGGCGCAGCTAGCAGTGTACACAGCTCCCAGTGGCCTAATGAAATCGTGTAAATAATGAAATGCACACATTGCGTAACAAACAGGAACTTTCCTGATCCAAAAAGGGCGCATTGTTACCTCTTAAACGTGCTTCCCAATGCAGTGCTAATGACTTGAGCCCCCTATTCCAACGCCCTTTAAAAGCTTTTGCCACTAACCCCTGAGCAGGTTAACGCCTGCTCATTTTTAGAGGATCTATGCATAATAAGCTCAGACTTGGACCTTCAGTAAAATTTATTTTTATATGCTCTATGCACTCACTAAAATGTGTTACTAGTTTGAATAGTGGGTTTCTAAATCATACCATCCTTATGAATTCTTAATTCCTCATATAAGGATGGAGATGCTTATTTGGGGGATTTGAGGGTTCTCTGCCTGCTGAGTCCTTCCTTTTTTAAAAAAAAGCTACTTCACGGGCTATTAAAAATTAGTCCATAAAATGGATTAGGACTGAAAGGTGGGGCGGGAAGCAGAGGATATCAATCTGCCACTTTCTAGAATGTTTAGCCAAATAGGTGGAAACTATTGGTCAACTTTAGCTTTTAGGTTAACCTGTGGATTCCATGTAATTCGAGTGATTTCTTTTTCTCCTTAACACGGACACCAGAAAGCCCACCACTCAGAGGACGGAGACACACCCTGAGGGACACGAAATCCGTGCTTCCCTCCCCGCCTCTGGGTGTTCTTCAGCGAACAGCCCCTCTCCTCTGCGCCTTACTGAGCCTGGGCGGAGGCCCCCAGAAGCAGCAGTCTATCCTAAAGCTATAGCTATAAAAATAATAGACACCACCCCAAATATAAATTATTTTTCACTGAAATTCTTCCAAAAGGAATATTTCACTTCTTTCTCCTTTCTTGAAAACTTTTTCACAGTCCTGAAATTTTTATTAAACTTTATTTTGAGAAGTATGTTCACACATTAATCGACTGCTGCCGCTAATGGACCCCATGGACAGTTCCATAATAAAATTATTCTGCCACCCTGAGCTCATCGGCGATGTTCAGTTGCCTCTGCTCCCAAATGTACACAGACGCTAATTCACAGCCATTCTGTGACCACCAACTGCACTTAAAGTATCACATGAATTGTAGAGATGTTTACCAAACCAGAGGACATCAAAATCACCATGACAAAAAATTTCATTTTCACTGAATAAGTGGTGTGCCATATCTATAGCAGATAGGCTAAAAGATTGAATGATTAATATTTAATTTTGCATATAGTCAACAGTGTATCACCATTCATAAATGCAGTTAACTGCCAAGCAAACATGTTTATTGTATTTGTCCTTTGTGAATTTTTCAACATCATCCATATAATGTAACTCCTCTAAGTCTAGGGTAGCCTGTCCAGCAACATATGAGCCGTTCCACCATGCATCCAGATATTCAATTAGCAGCTTTAATTGCTTTGAGACTGTGTGCTTCAGATTTCTGCTAATTAATAGCACCTTAAGACCTTCTCTTCTTGAGTCCCTGTACTATATTATCACTAAAGATGGAATTTCTATTTCTAGTTATTACAAGGTATCTGTCACCATAAAACCTAAACACACAAATGAAAGATACAGGACAATTCTTTGAGTTACAGAATAGAACAAGCACACCTAAATCTAATATCAGAGAATCTAAAAATATTCATGCTTTATATTTGAACATAAGTACTCTGAAGCATATCCTTCTATACAATTTTAATACATTTCAAGTTAATATATTTGATTCCTTAAATTAACTGTACATTACTCACTTTCAGTATTCGCATAACCAAGGTCAAACCACATCAGTAGAACAATTTCTTAAAAATAAGACCTATATAACTAATTACTATTTGGTACTAAGAGAATATCAATAGAAATACGTAAAAGGAACAAGCTAATCTGGATGTCAAAAGAACTAAGATTGCTTCCCACACCCCTTACCTACATAACTCCCTCCTGATCTTTTCTCCCACTTTGCCTATCTTACCAAGTTTTCTCAGTGTATAGGTGACTTATGACCATAAAATAGTCATAAACAATTATTACCTTCTCGTTGTGTGCACCTTATGCTCTGGGAACACCTCAAAGATAGAGCTAACGTACGCACGTCAAGTGGCTTTAACCAGGTTGCAAATTTCTGAACTTCAGCAACAATGAACTGTGTTCCTTCATGTACACTGCTGTGCACTAGGCACTGTGGGAGACCCCAAAATGAATCCCTTTTTCTGCCCTCAAGGAAGTCACAGTTTTCTTGGAGTAAATAATTAATGATAATAACGGCAATATGTTAAATAGAGATGCAAGTACCAGTACGTCTAAGAAGTTGCAGTTTGTACACATAAAAAAATGATACAGGAAGTTTTCTTGGAAAAGATTTCATTTGAGGCAAACCAAAAAAGATAAAGATAAATTAGGATTTTGGGTGGGCAATGAGTGAGGAAATAGCTTTCCAGGCATGAGCAATGATGCCGAATAATGCCAGTGATAGTTGTATATCTATTTTCTCCTCTCAGTACCTTCTGTGACCTGCCAAAACCAATCCAGATTACTCAAAAAATGTGAGCATCAGTGGGCTCATGTCTGGCATTAAGAGAAGATGCAGTGGCCAAATTAGAATGGCCCCTTGGCCACACCTATACTTCAGTTCCCAATCACAAATGAATTCATAGGAAAATAATAATTTGAGCACTGCGGTTTTCTTCAAAGACGGCTGCCATAATTCCTGCCCTTCTGTAGGCATCTGTTGCTCTTTCCTCTGAGAGGGGAAGCTATTTTCCCTATCCTTGAATCAGGGCTGGTTTTGTAAGCTGTTTTGTCCAACAGACTGTGGTAGAGTGACTCTGTGTTAGTTTCAGGCTTAGCTTTTAAGAGAGCTGGCCAATTCCTCTTTTGCTCTCAGAAACCAATCATCATGTAAGAAACTCTACTACCCCGAGCCCACCATGTTGTAAGGAAGCCCAACTAGCCACATGATTACACACGGAGGAGCACAGAGGCACAGATGTATGAGTAAAGCCCTCCGGGATTTCCAGCCCAGCTTCACCACCAGCTGAATGCAGCCAAATGAGTGACCCCAGCTGATGTTATGTGGAGAAGAAAAATGGCCCATCTGAGTCTTGCCTGAATTCCTGGCCCACAGAATCACGAGAAATCATAAATCATTGTTTTAAGCCACTAAAGTTTGGAGTGGTTTATTACAAAATGTAGATAACTGAAACACACACTTACTATGTACCAGATACTATGTAAGCGCTTCCCATAGTTTCCTTTAATTCTCATAAGAGCCTCAATAATATCATCCCATCTTCAGATGAGAAAACAAAGGGTCCTACTTGTCCACAGCCACAGAGGTGGTGAGTGACATGAGGTGTGTTTCTCTTCAGCATCTGTGCTCCGATGAAACTCCAAACTTTCTGCTTTCGGAGTTGGTGAACTCGGCTCCACTTTCACCACCAGAAGAATGTCATTTGTAGGAATACCGTTAGGAACTGTTAAACGCACACTCCAGCCCTATTGCGTCCTGCCTCTGGGCAAACTGGGAGATGTGCTGGATCGGTCTTGGTAGCTAGGGTCAGAAGGGTCAAAAGGGAAGAGTAAAAGAAGCTAAGTTGGAAAAAGACATACAATAACTGAAACTGTTCTTAATTAATAGACATTTTTTAGCAGTTTTTGTTTGCAGAAAAATTGAGCAGAAAGTACAGACGGTTGGCATATATCCCTTCATCTCAGCCCACTTTTCCCTGTTATTAAACATCCTGCACTGGTGTGGTACATTTGTTACAATCGATGAGCCAATAATAATGATACATTATTAGTAACTAAGTCCATAGTTTACATTAGGGTTCACTCTCTGTGTGTTGAACATTCTACATATAATTTTGAGACTCCAGGGTGTAGAAGAGGGATTCAGTGGCTGGAATCCTATGTTAACGAGATCTGCTCCTAAGCCAACCCTACTCAGCAGTCAAGCCTTAGTCCAGCTCTGCCCGTTCCGTCCAGGTCTGAGCTCCCTCCCTCTCTGTCCCTCTGGCCCCTGTTTGTTTTAGCCCATTCTCAGGCTTTGATGCCTTGCATCATGCCACTCCCAGTCCCTTATCTCCAACCTCAGGC